ACCACCTAAACAGCAATGGGAGCAAAGTTCCCTGAAACATTCAGCCGGGAGTGAACAGAGCCCTGACAGGTGAGCAACAGCAACTCTATTCAAATGTGGGTTTAAAGTGTATTTATATCTTATCTATGATTTAAGATCCTAACATTTGTATTTATTTAAAAAGCAGCAGCACTCTCTAGCAGCTGACAGTAAAAGTAAAAGATAGCTTTACTTCTTGAACATCTGGAAAAGGATAGAAGTAGAACAGTTTGCTGACAACTGTAGAGCTAGCACAGATTTAGGACACTGTATTGCCAAATGCAAAGCTCCTTCAGGCATGAGTGAAGGATCCTCAGCTGGATCTGTCCTTTGGGATGTAAAGGATGTCAATCTCTCAAATTAATGATTCCCTTTCCTGGAAACCTACAGTTTGTTGTAACTATGGGAACCTAAAGTTCATGCACAATCCTAAGACAGGCTAGAGAGGTCATGCTGAATTCTTTTATCTGGAAGAAGTTTATGAGTTCTGTAAGATGATCAAAAATAGAGAGTTCAGTTTATTTGCATTGAAGCCTGTCATAGACAGAGTTTTCATTTAGCCTCACAGACATCCTAGTGAGCAAGTACATGGCAGCAGGCCACATCAGGGCTTCTTGGATGTAGACTTCAGCTGAACAGGTATCACAGCAGAAGAGCTGTTTCCAGTGCTGCATTTTTGTATATAAATACTACGGTAACACAAACAGGGATACTCCTGGCGTGGCAAATTTATCATGCTTATCAGCTCAGCCAAAAAAAACCCACAAAAAACAAAAAAAAAACCCAAAAAACAAAACAAAACAAAAAAACCCAAAAAGCAGAACTCTGAAGGATACAAGACAAACTCCTGCAGTTCCACAAAAACATCTTGAAGAAAGGGAAAGACAAAGATCATCTGTAGCACACTGAGATCTCAAGCCAAATCCCTACTCAGGTGAAATGATTTTTCAGTTTCAGCTCTCAATCTTGGAGATGCTGGATATATGGGGTTTTAAGGCTTAAAAACTCTTAACTTTTACAATTTAAAGGAGATAAATAAAAAAAGGCCAGTGATTAAGGCTATGTGTATTCAAACAAGAGCTACAAAAATGTGAAGCATGGCAGTAATCAAAAAAGAGTGACAAATAAGTCAAACTAAAAGCAATTTCCAGTGGAAATTGAGGGTCAAATATTGCACTGTGAGCTTTGACAAGTATAAATAATAACTGAAGAGAAGACACACATGTTTGTTGTGCTCACTAGATATGTGAGGCCAGTTCAGCTTGTCAGTGTGCCCATAGATTGCATACAACCTAGATTTTGTTTACTTTGTTTTGTTTTTCCCAGAAGGTGCAGGGAGGGTTCAAGAGTTCAAATCTTTTAGCCTGCCTATTCTTTTTCTCCAAAGTTATCTATTGAAAAATAGGAAGGAATTAGCATTTGTTGTTAATGATTTAAAATGCCAGATCTATTATGCAAGTGCCTGAATCCTTGGACTAAAATGTTTCGAACACCTTTCTGCACTTACACTTCTAGAAAGAATTTACAGAGTAAAGTAGCAATACAAAAAAAACCAAACACACACACACACAAAAAAACCCCACCAAAAAACAACAAACAAACAAACAAACAAACTCAAGCAACCAACAAAAACACCAAAACAACACAAGGGGGTGGAAAAGACTGACTAACCAATTTTATGGCTAATTCAATTTTAATCCCTGCTCTAAGGCAGGATCCACTAATGTCCAACTTGTCCTTAACAATCTCTACCAGCAAAGCTTCTCACAGCCTTGTCCACCTTCTCTTTCTCTTGAAAAGAAGGCTCAGGGGCGACCTTATTGATCTCTACAACTCCCTGAAAGCAGGTTGTAGCCAAGTGGGGACTGGTCTTTTTTCCCAGGAAAAAAGTGACAAGACATGAGGAAATGACCTCAAGCTGTGCCAGGGGATGTTCATGTTGGACATCAGGAAGAATTGCTTCACTGAAAGGGTTGTTAAACACTGGAATGGATTATCCAGGGAAGGGGTGGAGTCACTGTCCCTGGAGATGTTCAAGAAACAACTGGACATAGCACTCACTGCCATGATCTACTTGATAAGGTGGTGCTTGGTCACAGGTTGGACTCAATCTCAGAGATTTTTTTCTAACGTAAATGATTATATCATTCTCCTTTTATCACTCAGAAAGGTTTTCCTAATGCCTAACCTGGATGGGCCTGCTGCTATACAAAATCTGAGGGCTACCATACATTCATGTCTCAAATCCTATCTGTTTATTGAGGGCAAACTGTTTGGGCTGCAGCAAAGTTAGGGAGATAGGAGGCTCTGCAGAGAAGCCATTCTGGTTTCTGTTCCAGCAGGCAACATTAAATCCTGAATGAGCCTTTTGCCCTTCCCCTCATAGGAATGAAATGCAGTTTTGCCACCACTGCTGATGTGGATCAACACTGACTACTTGTGGTGGTAACACATGATTATTACCAGGCTTTTCTTCAGAAAGGGAGACAACTACTACCTGTACTGCAAGAGAAGAGGAGTTAAAGGCTCTGTACCCAAAAAGCATGGACAAGACAGATAATCACCCCTGTAAGCACCAACCCAAGCTCCCCATGGCACAGAGGAGCACCAAGCAGAGATAGCCCTCAAGAAGAATTCATGTGTTACCTCCATTCTGGATTCAACCTGGCAAAGCCCTGGCTGGCTGGCTCAAAGTTCCTTGGCCTGCACAACCATGGGCTTCCAGACCCAGCTAATGTGCAGTCTGCCTGCTGGCTCACCAAAGGTTCCTGGATGCTGCCAGCTCATGCACATGCCCTGCACAGCACACACAGGCTCCTGTCTGTCTGTGAGAAATGCCTGGCAGCCCTCCAGGAGCCACCCCTTTCTGACTGCAAAATTCTGGCAGGGTCTGACTGTCATTAACAGAGCATTTTACCTCTCATGTTTCACTCTGCTCCGAGAAAGAGAGGATGATTGTCCATTCCCCTTAGGGTTTGTAAGGAACCAGGTGAATTAACACACCTGAAGTGTTATAAGCCCTTCACCAGGTGACTAAGGGAGCATTTTACGAGTAACTCCTGGCTCTAATTCAGAAGACACTCCTGTTGGCTGCAGAAGCAATATTCAACCATGTTTTCACAAGCTTGTGAAAGAGGATTTGGAGATTTTTGGTGCCCTCTACCACCTTCTTTGCACAGAGATGGTGCAGCACTGTTGAGCAGCAATGTGAAGCAGGCTGGTGCCTGGGGCTGAACCATAGCAGCCCAGTTCTCAGAGGAGGGATTTCCTCTGTGCTCTTGCAAAACATAGTGGAAATGCACCTGCTTTTTTTTTGGTAATACATGAAAAGCATTTTCTTCCATTTGTTTTGATCCATCAAAAGGATATTAAAAGAATGTTGTTCAAAATACCCAAATTTGGGCAAAACAAAAGGGAAAATGGGGGAGTGAGAGAGAGCAGTGTGTGGTTTGGGGGTGAGGGCACTGAACTGAGGAGTACCATTCCTAAACCACAACACCACCTCAAAAGCTTCCCAGAGATTTCCTTTCCATGTGATTGTTTTCCCACTTGTTTAGTCCCTGTTGCAAAATTTGCCAGAGTATCTTAAAGCAGAGAAGAGCAGCTTGAAAGATTTTGCTTACCATAGTTATTCTTTCTCAGTGACTGATAGCACACACAGAATTTTCAAGAAGCTGATCAGCGTCAAACCTTCATGTCACCCTTGTGTCCCTGCCTGGCTTGAGCTTGTTCCATGCAATTTATGGAAGGCTCCCTTCTATTCAGCCATACCACTTGCAGGGACTGGTTCCAGTCACATATGCAAATGAAACAAACAAAAAAAAATGATGCACAAAACTTCACTTGGGACAGGTCTGAAGAGAGAATCTTGGTCAGTTATTTATTTTTTGGCACTGATAAGTGCCAAGACTTTTAATTTCCTTATGGGGTAAAGATTGAAGGCAGAACTTCTGGGATTAGACATAAATAAAGTGACTCTAACCAAATCAGCCTGGGATGTCCTATATCCCAAATTGATTTTGCATCTTTCTTTCTTTTTTCTCAGTATATCATCTTTAAGAGGTAGATATTTGGTATGCAGGTGACACATTAATCAAGAGCTTCCATGACAGTACAGGCACAACCAACATTGTAGGAAAGCCTTTCACGCTGGAAAACCCCACATGTCCCAGCACAGTACAAAAGACAGCAAAAGAATTACTGGAGTTTCAAAACCAAAATAAGTAACATTATTTTCCAGAGAAGGCGAGCAGCCAGCCCTCAGCAGAAGGGTCACAGCAAAAGCTAAAGCAGGCTGCAGCTGGTCACTGGCACACACAAGGCTGCTCTCCAGCTCCACTGAGTACCTCTGGGGATGCCACCTGGCACCACCCAGCATGTGGAGGCCTCTTTTACCAGGCTGTAGAGATGTGCCCACATTGGAGCAGGGGGAGGCTGCTGAGTCAGCTCACTCCCTCCGTGCACAGTAATCCCACAAGTGCCCTTGCACAAAGTGCATAGCCCTTTGATACAGTACAGCCCACCAGGCACCAGGGGTTGGTATTTTCAAGAGGGGACCCCATTTATGACCATACATTCTCCAGAAACAGAAACAGAACCCCAGGAGGAACGGTGACGGTTCTATGCTCCCAATAGAACTTGCCCGTATCCAGTAGAAACCCATTTTTCACTGGGCTTTGGCAAACAAAAAACTGAGAACTCAAATGCACTAAGGGATGCACCATCTGTATGACAGCAAGGGACTTAGAGTGCAGCAGGAAGCACTGAGGATGGACAGTTAGAAGAACCTTTCTTTAAGGTGCCTTACACCAGGTCATTTTCGTCACTAAACATAGATGAGGAAAGAAGAAAGAAAACTAAGCCAAGATAAATAATGTAAAGAAAAAAGACAAAAACAAAACAAACCAACAACAAATCAACCAACTTTTAAAGCTTCAACAGCTAATTATCACAACTTAATCTAGGGCTGGGACACTGTGTACCTTCCTACTTTATTTCACTGATGCCAGGAAACTTTTAGTCCAGAGGATGTATCAAATGCAATGCCTCCATTTTTTCAGTGGAAACCTGCCAGGAAAGAAAACAGAAAAATCCATGCATGCATCTATAATAGGTTGTGGTGAGCATGAAATAAGAATAGCAAGTCAGGGAACCTTCATATTTTGCAGGAATAGAGCGTCCATTCCCTTCCACAAGTTAAATGCTATCCCGAAAAGATTTTCTCATGGGAAAAAGTAAGCAATCAGGAATGGAAACAAACTGGTTAGAACTGATTATGTTGCTAACTCTGAGATGCCTTGAGACATTTGTTTGGGGCAACCTTGGGGAACCTGACAAAACAAAGTATTTGAGTATCAATGCAAAGCACAACATTTTGAAACCAAGGTTGATTTCTTAGACGTTCAACAATAAATAAAAATGCATATATACACATACACCATCAAAAGCTGACTACTTTATGGGCTTAAGATGGAATGAAAAGCACCCATATTGCATTACCCAATAAAAAAAAGTGAGAGGACAGAAGGAACTGGATTGCTTTTTGAAACCACATTTGTGTTGTATGATTTTTTTGTGGTGAATTTCAAGACTGCAATTTTTGGGACAACATGCAGACTAAACATTGACTCTCCACAAATAAACCCTAAATAAAAAAACCTAAATAAAACCAAAAGTATTATATGAAGCCTATTTTAAATAATGGACAATCAAATTTTAATTTTTAGAAAGGCTAAATGAGGTTGGTGTAAGTGTGGTTGCTTTCAGACTCACCTGCAGCCATGCATCCACCAAATTTACAAATTAAAATGGTCTTCAAATCCAGCTCCAAATCCACTTTGACAGCTCCACCTAGATGAACAGATAAAATACACTGACCACTCCTTTAATTAATAGAGGATATGTTAAATAGCATCTGTGGGAGGCCCCTTCAGAACAGGCATGCAAGAAACACATACTCTATCCAAACCGACTCCATTTAAAAAGGGCAAACCATCCCAGGGGGAAGGGGGAGGGCAGGACCTATCTGTGATACTGACTAATAGCTTTAAATATAGTTTATTTTCTTCAAATGTAGCTGGCATCAAATGTCTTTCTGTACATAGAAACTTCAGTGGGGTAGGAACAGCTATTTTAGGGTTGAAGGAAGGTCAGCAGAACACAAGACAAGTATTGATGTTCCAAGGCTCTCGTAAGGATGCTAAACTTAACAGGGCTTTTTAGGAAAATGCATTTGTACTAAAGAGATGCTGGCAGAGTGAAGGACTCACTTTTTGATCAGCAGTGTGACTTTTCTACTGGTTGGAGCTGTGTGATTTGGAATCTTTTTCATAACAAGCAACAGAAAAAAAAAACCAGGTATTTTTAGTTTTAGGGTTTGGAAGTTCTTTTTGGGGGCAAGTATTTTTGGGTTTGTTATAAATTAAATGAAATAATATTTTAACATACCTGTGTAAATAAGGTGATAATTTTCTTTTGAAAAGCAGACCAAAAAACAAAAAAAACTTTAAATGCAGTGATTTTTGTGGTCCAGCAAAGTAACTAAGGCTTCAGACACACTCTCAATTCCATAGGTGCAGGAGCTCATGTCTTCTGCTCCCCATGCAAGGAGACTATCCAGACATGCCGTCCATAGCTCCAGTTTCTCTACAGCTGGTAAGTGCAACATTTACTGTGAAGGTGGTGAGGCACAAGATGCCCAGAGAAGCTGTGGATGTCCCATCCCTGAAAGTGTGGAAGGCCAGGTTGGATGTGGCTCTGAGTAACTGGCTCTAGTAGAAGGTGTCCCTGCCCATGGCAAGGGGTTGGAACTAGATCATCCTCTAAGTCCATTCCAACCCAAACCATCCTGTGTTCCATAGAGAATAAAAAATGGGAAAAGCGCACATTTTTAAACTTCAGCAGGTCAGGTTTCCATTGTCTGCTGTACTGCCTGGCTTCCCTCAGCTCCAGCTGAGCTGTATGTTCAAACTAAAGAAATCAGATAGATTTTGCTACTGGCAATCTTAAAATAAATATGTATGTCACTTATCCCTTTGTGGCTGCACACCACCGATGCCAGCACTGCTGCCACCACTTTCCAAGAGAGATTGCACAAGGCCAATCTGAGCGCAGGTGATAAACTGAGCCAAGTTATCAGCAGTACCACAGAACTCCCAGCAAGCTGTTTCAATTTTATCTGCTCTCAGCATCCTCCCAGGGGCTGATAAGGCCCAGCAGCTTCCTGAAGCACAGCTGCTCCCAGAATGGGTCCTCTGAGAGCACACAGCCAACATTGCCACTCTGCTTAAAAAAAGAAGAGTCCTGCTCTGATGGAGATCCCAGCTGACCACTTGGATAGGTGTCTGGGTAGCACAGCTCAGTAGTTTCTCCAGCTAGAGAGCAGTAACACACAGGGTTGCCTGCAAGCAAGGTGCAGCACAGACCTTCTGCTCCATCAGACCCAGTGCCCAAGATCTGCTCTTATTTGAATCAGCTTTTGAAGGACTCCAGTGTGTGCCTTTGCATGTCAAGTAAACTCAACCTTTCCTTAAAACCACTTCCGGGCCCAAGCACATACTTTCAGAATTCTATGAAAACCATGAGGTATTTTTCCAAACTTTTTTACAACTAATTTTAGAGTATTGGATTTTTTGTCTTGCTGGTTCCCTTCAAGGATGAACTACACAGTAACCTGCACCCCTAATTAGGATGCTTGTGACTCGCATTTCTGAGCATGTGAACATGAGCTGGAAGAGATCTAGTTCTGCTAGCCCAGGATGTGGCAAACCATCATTAGACAGCTTTAGACCTATTAAACAGACATAAAGGACAACTAAGGGAAATTAAACTTCATGCCACCTGCTCCTTGAGGTAGCTGCAAGGACAATATTCTGTTTTACCTTAAATAAACCCAAGGAATGGAGAGTTAATATGGACCTCCAAAATGCACAACTGTAAACACTGTGGAACATAATTTTTCAGTGAGCAAAGTCTTTATGTTTGAAAATATCTAGGATATTACTAGTATTCTTGATCTCTCCTGTGATCTTCTTGCAGTCCAACTATCACTGTGGCTTTTGATTTTTTGCTGTTGTGACTGAGAAATTGTCATCCTACATAATCTCTTGAAGTCAAACCTCAATGAACAGTAAATGAAGCTGGTTTTTGGAACTCAACAGTAAAGAGGCTATGAGGGTTAGCACATGAGTGAAGCACAATAATTGTTTCACTGTGTTTATTGTCTAGTGCCTAAAGAAAGTGAGAACAGTCAGCTGTTAAATAAGCAATGATAAGCTTATTGTCAGAACAATTTTGTGCAATAGAGAAGATACAGTTCTCTACAATACTGCTTCTGGAGGAAAGGGGAATTTCAACCCACCCTAGGCGTCTTGTGCGTAACAATCCAAGGGCAAAAATGAGAGATTTCCACCCAAACTCTTCACTGTGATGTGATCACAGGCTGCTCCATGTCCTTGTTCTGCACAGGTGGAAGATAGTGTCTACCTGATGTTTAGCTCAGTCTACAATTACCTGTGGTTTATCAGTGTCTGTAAGTACCCAAAAGTGGGTATCAAAAAGATGGACCAGGCTCTTCTTGGTGGTGCCAAGCAATGGGACTAAGAGACAATGGGCAAAACAGAAGTTCCACCTGAACATGAAGAACAACTTGCAGGGACCATGCACTGGAACAGGTTGACCAGAGGGAATGTGGAGCCTCCCTCACTATGGATATTCAAGAACCATATGGACACAATCCTGTGCCATGTGCTCTGGGATGATCCTGCTTGAGCAGGGAGATTAGACCAGATGATCTGGTGTGGCCTCTTCCAGCCTGACTCACTCCATGATTTCCTGAAATCAATGTGATGAGCTGTGGCCTACTGGGGAGAATGGCATTCCTCAGGCCAGGTTATTGTTGAATACTGGGAATTGAAGCCATTCCACAATCAGGGCTCATTCTCAGTCCATCTGCACAGAAACACCTGGAGAACATGGCACCACCCAGTAACTTGCCTTCATTCACAGTCCCATCTCATACAGCTCCAGCCCTAACACATACCCTGGGCCTAGCTCATTTCCTTTCCCCTTCCAACCATTCCTGTTCCCTGGCCTGTCTGACCAAGAACACTGTCACTTGCCATGCTGACACCATCCTTCCCTTCACTGTACCTGGCATGTCCTCAGCTCTTTTTGCTCCGTGCTTTCATGCCAGTCTGCTGTAGCAAATGACATGCACCTGCACCACAAGTTGAGTCCAAGCTTCATTGCTAGGCTTGACTGCTCACACCCTGGTTCTAACAATCCCAACCAGGCATTTAGCAGCTGGGGAGCCAAGAGGTGCTAACCCCTGCTTCACCTGCACTGAGCAGTGATGTGTGCCCCCCACAAAACATGCTGCAGTCATACTGCAGTAGCCAGTGCTGCTCTCTCAGCCGGGGCATCTTCTTCACACTATCCCAGAAGCAGCTCTGATAGCACAGAGACAATCCACAATTTGAGGATACTTGAAAAAAGAACAACAATAAGTAAAAGTGAAGAAAATTGAAATCACAGGATATCCAGAGCTGGAAAGGGACTACAAAGATTGTCAAAATCTGTCTCCTGACCCTGCCAAGGACAGCCCCAAGAATCACCCCATGTGCCTGACAGCATTGTCCAAACACTTCCTGAACTTTGGCAGGCTTACATCTGTAGGTGAAAATCCTTGTCCTACACCAGGAAAGCAGATACAAGTGAAGATTCTGGCTCAGAATCCAACCATTGTCATGATGAGGAAGCAGATTTGTTACAGAAAAGGCCCAGTATGGGAAACCCTTACTGAGTTTACCAATTTCTTCACATAAGATACAAATAATTACCAGTAACAGTAACATGCTGTAACATCTTGAGATTGTTAACATTAACACAATGTAGATTGTGTAAAAAGATGAACACTTGAGATATGAATGCTGCCTCTCTTCCAGCTGAAGACTGATACACACGTGGGCCTTATGCCTGCATCACTTTTTAGAATCTTCTGTCTGAAAGAAACAAAGACTGCATGTGCCATCCTCAGCCCTGCAGCTACCCAGCACAGGGAAGTTCTTATGGATCTTGAATGAGAAAAAGGCAATTTCAGGTGCTAGGACAGAGCAGAAACAAACACCCTGGGGAAGCCCTTTTTAAAACTTTTGCCATTCGTAGAGGCAAGATCCAGAAATCTCATCTTCTTACAGAACAGCAGTGGTGCCTTTGGAAGCCTTTTTTTCTCCTTAGGATGCAGGCACAGAATCTTTCTCAGTTTTTTTGTGGGGAGAACAGACTTGTCTGAAAAGGTATCCACCACAAATCTTAAGCAACCCAGAAATTTCTGCTTTTAACAACTGCAATCTTGTACATAGTCTTCTGCAAGAACTATTGGTACAATAAATGCTGTAAAAAAAAAGCTTCAGTATTATACTGAGACATGACGTGGATTGATTTGAGTAAAATCAAACCTATTTTCCCCTATTTTCATACATCTCTGAAAAAAGAAAAATAAGTCTGTAAACGTCTTTCTCATTATCTAGATCAAAACAGTTGCAAAATGGAGTCTAATGACCACTTATATCTGATGGTTCTGTTCTCTTACACATATCCTCTGGTTAAGTGCATATATTTCTGAATTCAGAGGTAGGATTAAAAAGAATCATCAGTATTAACTATATATGAGATCCTGATAACTGGTGAAAATTAAATGCTGAAAGAGAAACCAAAAAAAAATCCACAAACAAATGTTACACCTTAAGAAAGTTGAATTCATTAGAAATTTATACTTTTGTTCTCTTCCTCTAGTTAAAAAAAATTCACAATTGTTTAAGTACACGATTTTAAAAACAGTGGCTTATGACTGACACATTTTCAGTAAATTTTCTAAATTGCTTAAGCAAAATCAAACACAATTCCTACAGTTACAGCAAATCAACATTCATATGAAGATATTTACAGTGCAGCGTTCTAACTCATTCTCTCAGCTTCACAAAATGGCCACATAGTCAATTTAAGTGCCATCTATGAACCATGCTGTACTCGTGTGCACACCTGTTTTAGGATTCCAGCCATATTCTGCTAAGAGGCTTTACAGGAGTAAATCAGGGGGTTAGATCTATGGCCTCTCCCAAACACGAATCCAGACGGCAGTTTCTCCTTGCAAAAACAGCCCCATTTCCAAATCAGCCCAATCAGCAGCCTAATGAGAGGCAGTGGGATCTATACCGCACAATTTGTGTTATGTAAATGCTTGTATGCTGCTAGAACAACAGTGGAAAAAATATGTTTGGCCAGAAGCAAAAAAAAAAAAAAAAAATCAGCTCTTTTTCCTTCTGCTTCTTTGACTTAATGAAGAGACACACTCTTAACTAATTGCTTTGGCAGGCCAGCAG